AAAATCATTAATGAGAGAGACAGAGAAGGCAAAAGAGAACAATGTATTTGCTATTTTTTTATTAGAATAATATTGAATTAAAATATAAAAAGGTACAAATCAGAGCACAAGATAGTTAATGTCTAATTTCATGATCATTGACGAGAGAAAAATAGTTTGGCACAATTTTATGAGAAACAAGAGTAAATAAAATGAAAAAAGTACAATGCAGAGGACAAGATATCCACTATATACAGATCCGAAAATCCAACAAACTTGTACAAAAAATATTTAAAAACAGCACTAATCTACCTAAATAACAGCAACTGTCTGAGCCAGAGAAATCTCATAAGAAAAAAACTCCCCAAAACTCTGAAGAAACCAAAGCACATAACAGTACCAAAAAAGCAAACTTAATCTTCAGCTCCTCTTCCCCAAAAGTATCAAACATCCTCCTATGTCCTCCAACCAAATTACCCAAAACAATCATCGCACAACATCTTCCTTAACCCTCACCTCTTCTTCCTCCCACCAAAAACTCATGCCATTCACAAAATAAGGTGTACAGGGAGCTAGAACAGCATCACCAGTAATAGCTAACAGAAATCGTCAACAAGGCAATACAAAATACTTGTGACCAAACACATAATAATAACTTTTGATTGAGACCATGGAGAAAGCACCAGAAGATGGAAAAATGTTTCAAATTTTCATGAGCTCAAAAATGACTCAATATAAGTACACATATTTGCTGGCCAAACCTAAAATCCACAGGTGATAAATAACGTATAACGTGAGTGTGCAGAAAAGATGTGTACAAATATGTTTCAAATTTTCACGAACTGAATCTTAAATTCAGCATAAGAGCTAGGTATACGTTATTGAATGGATGAATTTCAATCCAACTTGAAATTTTCAAAATGGATGCTGTGTGACCTTAAAACTGCAAACAATAGAATTAAAATGAGGGAACACTGACACGTTTTAGGTGAAGGAATGCCACCAAACATCAAGACTATCCCCATGTGTTCTCCAATCTCCCTAGGCACAGACTAGAGTTCACTTCCCATCTTATTCCCTCTCCTAACAAGAACTCAGTTCAATATTTCAAAAACTATTAGATAGCAATACATAACTAGGTGAACATTAACTAAAAATTCATCAGGTTTAATGATATTCATCTAAAAGCAAAGCAAGTGACGGCGAACGCCTCTGGGTATTTCATGCGTATCATTTGAAGCCCATCAACATGCAGTACAAAATTTAAATTTGTAAATAAGCTTGAAAGTCATTTCTATTGCCCCTCCAGCATAACCAGTCCACAGCAAAGCCATTTCTAAACAAGCTTGAAAGTCAAAAAGAGAAAGGCTGATGCCACCAAATTCTTAGCAACGGCGATAATCATAAACACTATGTAACCTTTATTTTGGAATTCGAAATCAACCTCAAGCTCACTTCACCATTTCCATTCCACAAACCCAAAATTGCAAAATTTGAGTTTCCTACCCAAAATTGCAAAATTTAAGCTTTCCTTTCATTCCTCAGACTTTCCCAGCAGCCAAACAAACACCCAGAAAAAACCCAAATCCCTAATTCAAGCAATGAACCAAGTCCACCACGGCCTGGATCAAAAACCTCACTCATCCCCCAATCCCCAAACTTTAACAAGAACGAATTCGCAAAGCAACAACACATTCGAAAAGCGAAAACCCTAAACCTAATGACAAACCTTTTCGTTTTTGAAGCGTGTACGGACATTCCCAAGCTCCTTATCGACCCGGAGCCTCTCCTGCTCTTTGTTCGGGCAATTCCGAACGTCGCTGATGAAAACAGAGAGGCCTCGCATGCCAGACAACGCCATGGCCGCTCAGATCCAGCCCTAGCGATACGCGCACAGAGAGAGAGCCACCACTCCTGAGCTCCCCCAAACCCCACCGAGATTCTTCTGGGTCCTGAGTTGGATCTAAGGGGCAGCAGAAATTGAACACTGTTGGGGAAGATCAGCAGCTCCTCCAATTGCAAAATCGGAAAAATGGGTTTGATCTGAAATGCATACGCTGGTTTTTCTAGAGAGAGAAGGAAGGTGGACTGAGAGGAAATTTCAGAAAAGCCGTGGGTGAGTGCTGGAGGGAGACGACTTTTATTCAGTGTTGCCCGATTGAAATCATTTCAATTTCCACCTAATACTTCCATCTTCTTTTCATTTTTCCTTTTTTAATTTCTCAGACAGACAGGCATATTATTTATGCAATTACTTGACTAATTTATTCAAATTTTTCTTTTATTTTTTTATTTTTTTAATTTTAAAAGAAGAACAACTTGTAGCAAGCCATGGTTATCCACCATTTTTAAATCTGAAGAAGTTATGGAGAATTTCACTCTGTCCGTTGACACAATCAAGCAGACAGAACCTCCTATATTTTTTTGTTTATTAGAGAGCCGTGGTTCGTGCTCTTATCACTGGATCATTTGCTGTTGTTTTTCTTTTATTTAGTACAGCGATATTGCTAGTGAGTTAAATAAATAATTAATTATTAAAGACAAGAAGAGTGGAGGGAGATCGAAACACCAACAAAGTACCAAGATGATGATTATTTTTCGCTAATGCGTATCTGCATCCAAATTATTCTTTAATTATTTCATCCAAATTCATGTTTTTGTTCCATGAAACATTAATATTATCAAATTTTGAAATGTGGGTCTATTTTTCGTTGTGTTTTTACTCTTGCTAAATGCCCAATTATTTATGTGATTGGTTTTAGGGGCCACGCAATTGCAAAGTTCAATTTTTATGAGTAATATATATTTATTTCAAATCTGACATGAATGGGATGGGTTTGTCAATTTTGGATTTATGTTCTACCAGCAGCATTGCTGGAGATTTAACTGCACGGATACTTAGTACTACGATCTAATGATATTTTTATTCATTTATGAGTTGAGAGATCTTAGATTTGATTCTTGTTAAAGATAAATTTGAACCATATTATTGATAACTCATTGTGAAATTTATCACACTTCCTTAATATAGATAATATCATTTATAAAAAAAAATTAAAAAAATTATATTTAAAAAAAAAGCACTAACTAACAGTCTTACAGATAAGTCTTTTCATCCATCAATTTTCTTAAATTAATTTTCTGTTTTCTCTGCTGGTATTGCTTAAAATGCTGACCTGGTTTTTAATTTAAGGTTTTTGCTCATTTACTCTTTAAATTTGTAGATTATTACAATTATTTTCCTAAATTTTTAATTTAGCCAATTATCCCCTAAACTTATATAAATAGTTCATTTCTTCCTCAATTTCAGATATTCAAAATTTTCATCTATTATTTCATTCATGTTTAACACAACCACTTAAAATGGTAAATTTTGCCCCTCACTAAAACCCACCACCGAGGTCTGATAGCAACAACACATCTAAAGTACAACAAAGTGACGTTCAAGTGTTGTCCACATGACGAATAAAAATTGGATGAAATGTTGAGTAATGTAACATGGAAGTAATTGGCTATTTATAAATATCAAGGGTTAACTGGTTGAAATAAAAGTTCACAATAAAATTGACAGCGACTAACATTTTCAAGAAGTAAATTGGCTAAAAATTGATTAAGTGAGACTCATCTAAAAATGTTATATAAATTAGAACTAAGCACATAAACGGTCATCACAATTAGGTTAAGTGAGACTCTAGTTTAGTTCTTATCGGACAATATAAAATGATCATTCTTTTAGTCTAACTCAATACTAAACGCCTACAATTTAGTTAGTACTATTCTATGTACAAATTAATCTATCTGATTGAAGTAGTCAGTACAGTCCGACATACTAAACAAGGCATCCAAAAAAAGGGGAAATACATTGATGACTTGTAATAGAACTTATGCTTGAAGAAATATTAGTATCGTATAGAATTGACAAATGAGATGCGTTCAATAAAATTTTAAAAACTCACATAATATTTTCAAAGGAATCGGTTTGTATATTCATAATGATACTATGAGCGCTTTAGGCACCTGCAAGATATGTTTTCAGATAACGCTATACAATTACAACCTGTCTGCCCAATGGATACAAAACACCCTTTGGTGCAACAACATGCACTAGTATCATTTGAAGAATGTTAATAAATTCCAAAATCCATTTCGTCGCATCGTAGTGACTACTGTCTTTTTGATTGGTACTATAGAGGAAAGCACATGTGCGAGCGGCTGTGGATGAAGTGGATGCGAGAATGTTGGCTTGAGTAACACAAACAATTGTGAGAATCCAATGCTCCAAAAACCTAAGTGTTCCTCCACAAGGTTCGGCCACGGAGGAAGGACGTGGAAGACAAAGAAATTGTTCGAGTAACTTTTTATCTAATAATAACATGCTTGATTAAGTAAAAATCTTTTACAAAAGGTTGACTAAAGATTTCTCGTAAAAACACCAGCCCAGCTTAATTTATAATTAGAATATTTTCAATCTTTTTTTAGTCCATGTTAAGACTGTACCATAACAAAGTTACAAATTCTTACAACATTAGGATCTCTATCAATCTAACAGTCAGTTTAATTTTATTTTTTGACTTAGCACTGTTGGATAGCAAATATAAACTTTTGTCAATGAGGGTGCCGTGTAAAATATGATGGTTAACTAATTGTTCGATTGGTCTAAATAACCTGGGTTTTTTTTTCTTAGTAAAAGTACGATATTTATTTATTAGAAAAGAAATGTACAATAAGAGGATAGTGGTACATATATGGACCTCGATAAAAGTCTTACCCATGCCCGACAAAACCGTTACGTAAATCTCAATCACCCGTTTTCATAATATATAAAAAAACGTTGTTAGGCGTGGTCTGATGCAAACTCGTCAAAGGGTGTATTAATGGCATTGGAGAAAAGGCAGTGGTAGCTCGGTTGTCAATCACTCGTTGCAACATAAATTAAATACCAAAGCAAAATCGTACCATTGTCAAATGAAATTGCAACCTTCAGTTGTCTTCACGTGCATCAACGGTTAAAAATCGTTCTCTCCCGGAATTGATGATTACTATTATTCAGTTAAGATGGTAAAAGATCATGTGGTAGACTAGAGGCATGCCATTGCTAGCATGATAAATTCTTATATAACGGCAGCCCTCCCACAGTTCGTGTACGCAAACGTGAGTTCCACTTTCTATGAGAGGGCAGCCGTATATAAGAGTTTCTTTGTTACCACTAACGTTACCAATATCAATCATGTACATACCAAATGTTTCAATTTCACCATTAAACCACTGAAATTTCCCGGAATTTTTTTTTATCTAGGTCAAACCCCTATCGAATTGATCTAGCAGACAAAATCTGAGTGAAAATGTAAAAGAACGTATCGTCCGTTTGACATCTGAAAACTGAGAAGCTACATCTGTTGGTAATTGGTATGCATTGCTGCTACTGCACTCCGCTTAATTTAGCCCAATCTACGAACTGCATACCACCGTAGATATTGTTGGCGAATCGTACGCCTATAGTGAATGCCATCGCAACAGGCGGGACACGTTTTGCCAACGGTGATGCTTCAACCAGCCCTTCCAGACCGTTTACGATCTGATAACGAGTGTTGGACGAGACAGCAAGAAATACACCTGATTTAACAGAGCAAAACAGTTTGTGTAACTGAGGTTGGCAGGTTGCACATGCAAAAATGTACACAAGTAATCAAAGTGACTAGTAAATTAGTGTCATATGAATAAAGCGAGAATAACTTGCAGTGACGACTGCATTAATATTAACTTTTGGTTTTAGGACAAGAATATGCTTCCGCTCCATCGAAGATCTCGGAAACAACTGATCCAAATGTAGTAATATACTGTTCCCTTCTTTTCAAGTGCAAAAACAAAAGCTGTGTCAAGTACCATTTGACATTATTCCTATATCATAAGATACCATTTGGCACAGATTTATCAGATCAGAACAGGGAATTAATTTTATCCAGCGACCATTTGTCGAAATATAGTTTATGCATATCTTTTAGTTATTTATTCCATGACTTCACAACTAAGACCGACAGAAACTTGCTTAACCAATATACAGCAGTAGATAGTTCAATGACAAGTTTGGACTTGTAAAAAAAGATGAGGAGAAGAATTTAAATCTGAACAAGAGAGCAGGACCTACCCCAAAGAGCGGCACTTTTCACGAGAGGAGGCACGGGTATGTCCCCTTCTGACTTGTTTACGCTCCTGATGACACACAAGAATAAGAGAGTGAATACTGTCATTAAAAAGGAGAATTTGTTTTCATTTTGGTTTGGTTCGGTGAAAGTTTTGGGCGATCTTTGTATTTATACCATTCAAAACACCTAATTCAGGTTGTCAGTACCAATTTACCAATTTCACTGTTGTGGACAACAATAAATTAACTTAACAATGGAAGGATCTTTATGTTCCAAATACAATGTCTTTTCCCCCGACAGCTTGGGCAGGCACAATGATCAGCGTAATAAGTATGAAATGTTAGGGCCAGTTTGATGTGATCCATTATCGTAACTATATAAGTATCAAAAGTTAAGGCCAGGTTGATAACCATTTCATTTTTTGTTAGAAACAGAGGAGATAATGCATGAGAGAAAGGAGAGATGTAGAAGGGTGGAGGAAGGATGGTGGGAGAGAAGTGGAAGATATGCATATAGAATGGTAAATGAAAACTAAAAGCTGGCAACAATTTCGAGTTGTTCACTTTCAAGTTTCATTTCATACTCTCCTTCATTACTCCCTCCTCTGTCCCTCTACCCTTCTTCATGCCTCTTTTTCCTCATACGCATTCCCCTCTACCTCTCACACACACAAAAATGAAAGCTAAAGCCTAAAAACGAAAGGGTTAACAACAGGCCCTTAAAAACACATTTAATAGCAGATATCCAAGCAGATATCCAAGCAAGAGTGACTGACATCTGACAGAAAAACAGACATAACATGAAAATTATATTTAGATAAAAGCACACCTTTTGGCATTCATGATCATATTTGCAATTCCTTGTCCAATAAGACCGCATACAAAGCCAACTGATCCGTACAACACACCCTGGACCAACATGTTTCAATCAATTAAAAAGAACCAGAACCCAGATTTTGGTCTAGACAATTAAGAATGCTACATGAAACTGGTACAGAAGCCTAATTTGAAGAGAGAATCATTAAGCAAGAACTACATTAAAAAAACTAAAGAGTGAAAAACTCCACCCTGCCTCTTCTTAATGGAACATTTGTCTTCAATATTTTCAGTCCAGAAGTCAACGAATTACTTATTCGTTACTAAAAGAAAAAGTTAAACATTGCTAATCAGATGTATTACCTTATAGAAGTATGTGGCTGTTCTCTGCTGGACTGTGAATTTACATCCCGGCCTTTCAGCTTCAAAGACGCTGCATAAGAGGAATATATTCAGTGAAAAATTTAATGAAGACCATGCAATGCTTCACAAAAGAAGAATTCTAGGAGGACTCATCGATTTGAATTCAACCTCAAGACATAAGAGAATACAATTATGAGGTCCCAAAAAGGTCCCAAAAGATAACCCTAAGTTACACTCCCACATTTGTTAAAGAAATTTAATTTATGTCACCATCTCAGTCATTGTGTTTTCATCAATTTCTGCAGCTCAACATGGGGCTCACAAATTATTGGGAGCCAACCAAAACAGTAAATGAGGAAGAATGAAAGGAAACAGCTTTTCCCAATGGGTAGGCTCACTAAGATCTCCTCCTTCGTGTTAAACCATTCACAAGACTCACACCAAACCCTTTCATATTGAACTTAAGTATCCCAAAGCAGACAAATTCAGTATTAAAATCACACTGGATCCTCATTGTAGCAAGCAGTGAGGGAACAGCCTAACAGTTCATTTTTGGCTTTGCAATGTCCACAATACAATGACCTCAAAACAAGATAAACTATAATTTCATTGGAGCCAAAAGTAGATATCATAATAACCTATCAAACAAGAGAACATAACTAACCAAAAAATGAATCATAGAAACAACCTTTACGATGATCAACCTAAATGGATAGCATACTGCAATTAATAAAAAAACTTAAACAACAACAACAACAAAGCCTTTTCCCACTAAGTGGGGTCGGCTATATGAATCCTAGAACGTCATTGCGCTCGGTAGCGCAATTTCGTTCAAGATTCATTATCATAAGGATTCGACGTAAAAAATTAATAAAAAAAGTTCAAAATATAAAAATAAAAAATACAGCTAACGTGTAAAGATGAATACAGGCAGAAATAATGAAACAGGCATGATGTTAAAGATTAATAGTTTCTAGCTGTCTAATAAGATCAGAATGATGAGGAATTATGTTTTTGACAAAAAAAAAAGATGAGGAATTATGTTTCCAACGAATTCCACACAAAGTTTTTCGTGCCCTGAGTTGAGTAACATATAGCATCACCATTTTAATGATCCCAATGAAACAAATTAAAAATAGAAACAGAGGCAACTGGTAAGATGGACTACGTTCAAGGTAATAAACAATACAAGATTGGTACTTGTTGAGGTCTTACCGCGTTCAAGTCAACATCAGATAAACGTACAGCAGAATACTAGCATCCTAAAATGCTGTGTTGCAAGGCTAACCTGCTAGGAAGAGAGGCACAAGCCTGTTGCACGCTTCCTAATAAACCTCGTGACACTGATGGCTTTCCAATCCGAGCATAGGGTGCCAACATGCCAACCAAAGCAATGTCAACCACTATTCCAACCAAAAGATCAGCAGCATACAACTCAAACTCCGCCCAGAAATCCTTTCCCCTTTTCTGAACTTCTGCAAATGTTGCACAACAAGAATCTATGACTATCTGCATTACAAAGGTGGACAATGAAAGATCTCTTTAGTAGTTAACAAGATCAGAGATTGTAAACCGGTCCGGTTTCAATGCAAGGTATACATGTAATGTAACTCATAGGATTATCACCAATGCCATCAATCACTCAAAAAAATATTAAAACCGAAGAGAAAAAAATGACAAAAGCAAACCTCTGTCCCAACTTTGAAAAGAAAGGAAGGATCAGCCAGCATCCGGTTACGTAGCATTGAGCAGTACTTGATCAAAAAACCCAGTGGCCAAACTGAACCCTGAATTTCAATCACAACCCCAATAAGAATCGTAGCGAAAACCATAATTTGAAGGTTTTTCAACAGAAATGACGATAAGATTAAGGAAAAATTCAAACCTGCAAATCCAAGTAGCGGAGAAGGAACACCTCCCGAAGCCCAGTAGTCTTAGCAGCCTCAAGCATGTCCAAAGGAAGCTTCACTCCCCGCGCTTCGCTCTCCTTCATCACCTCATCAAACTTCAGCAATGGCCCAAACTCCTCTCCCTCTCCGCCCTCCTCTTTACCCCCGCCGTCTCCTTCTCCTCTTCCTCTGCCACCAAATGAATCGCCGCCATCACCACTGTCATTTCCTCCGCCGGAGCCGTCGATTTTCGGCTCAGAAACCATCGCTTTCGCCTCCGTGAAATCACCATTTTTTTCCGCGACAGAAATGGTCTCTGATCCCGCGCAATTGAGATGGAAACGGCGGTTGCGAGACGGCGAATGGTGTAAAGCCACCAGCTTTAACGAGTTTGCGAGTTCGGAATGGGGTTTAGGATTTTGGAGACATTGCAGAGGAGCTCTGGCCTCGGAGGCGGAGCTGGAAACGACGGCGTTTGGCAGGTGCGCATGCGATGGTGGCGGCGAGCAAACTGACATTGTGTGTAAACTGGCACGAACGGAAGTCAGAGACTCAAACAGTTCCTAAACAATTGACTGAGGGGATTGTAATCACCTGCGGTCCAGTCAGTGGAAAACTTCCAGATGGCAATAGGTGATTGGTTGCAGTACAATTTCGATAACTGACTGAGAGACTTGAACTCTCGCGGGGATTTATCGCCTGAGGTTTGGTCCGTACGAAAAGGAGCACGTGGCAGAAGGTGAATGGCTGTAAAATATTCAAAAGAAAAAAAATTTATCGACGCCTGAGAGATTCGAACTCTCGCGGGGAAACCCCATGTACTTAGCAGGCACACGCCTTAACCACTCGGCCAAAGCGTCGATTGATGGTATGCTTGCTTCGTTTACTACTTGAACTATAAAAAAACATATTCGTTTAACGACAAAGCATACCTAAGTTTAGCCAAGTTGACTATACAAGCATGATCCATCCTCTGCACTCAATTCAAATTTCTCCCTTCGTATTTTAAATGAATTTAGTGTAATTATCATATCATTTGTTAATTTTTCCCATTTTCCCTCCCTATCTTATAAGGAAGGTCCGCAAGATATAGAAATAAATCATAAGGGCCTATTTGGCATCCTTCTTGGATTTAATTTTTTTGTTTATTAAACTAATGAGAACTAAGTAATTTAGTTACATTCACATGTGCTCGAATCACACATTCAAACTCAAAAGTTTAGAAAAATAAACACCACTGTCATGATAATGAAAAGATCAGAAGTGTGAAATTATTTTCCTGTTACTTATACCATACTATTTCATACTTACAGTTATGACTTGGTTCTTAAAGTACAACTTTTACTCCCTAGACCATATTTAGCAAGCATTTATGAATGTGTGGTGTACTTTTTGAACACGTGACAAGTATTTATTGGACGGATGATGCAACTATGCATTTGATACCAGAAAGTTTCTCTCCACCACATTAGAGAGATGTGAATAAGCTAATGAGCTTAGTCTTACCTAGCCGTCAAGAAACGAATAAATACTTCCATCTCCAAGCTTAACTCATATACTTAGCCTTACAAACTCAAAATAAACGAAATAAAATGAAAATTAAAACTTCTGGTTTTTCTCTACACTCTTAAGATGTTTGACATCTTGGATGGTGGGCACTTTAATTTAAACAAGTAAGCATGTCTTTTAAATTCAAATAATTGCAATGTTTCATACTTTACCTTATTAAAATCTTATCACCTAACTTTTTACATTAAAATCTGTCACACAGAAATTTTCTTTTCTTCGGTGGCATTATTAGCAGTTAGCACTCCAAGCAAAAAAGAAACATTGACGATGAAAACTTTGGCCGTCTCTGCTTAGAATTTGAACAATTAAACGGAAAAACCGGGGATGTAACCGGTTATTTATCCCTCTCTCTGTCTCTCACATCACGTAACACAATAGATTAAACAGACTCGGACCTTGCCTTTGCTTTCAGCAACTGCACTCCCTCATTTACAGAAAATTTCCACTGTTTAATGAACAGAAATTCCAATCAAACCACCTCAAGGGAAGGCAAACAAATTCAGATATATGACAGCTGATATTTTCCAGTATTTCACAGACCTATAAGTTACAATTTGGTTCATAAGGATGTACATGTATAAACCCAGAAACAAGCTAACTGGAAGAAAAAAAACCAAAAGAAGGAAAATTTCTTCTCTCTGTGAAACAAGGTCTATTTACTTGTCACAAGGCCCCTCAAGAAGAGGAGCGCGGACCTATGAGTTCAAATCTTGGATGTGACTAGCATTCCGTTACAGGTAAGGTAACCGTAACTTCTTGAAATAAAACGCTTCATCCTACGATGACTGCAAAGTTCCAACCACTGTCGTATAAATAGGTGAAAAGAATTTCTCTCTGTACTCAGAATCCAAATTTACAACGACAATATTTCTATTAGTATGGATAGGTTGCGTACCATCCTCCGTTCAGACACTTCTGGAACTATTCTGGTTGGTTAACAGAAACATGAAGGAAATGAAACTATCTCAAAACATGGAAATCGTTTCGAGAATGTTGATTATGAATTTTTCCATTCCTTTCTCACATATTTTCTGGGAACCAACCAGAGCCTCTACTTACCGAGGCAAAGCTTTAATTGCTTTGTAAGGAAATTTTCTTGTGTCTAAAATGCAAGGTCGAAGGACGTGCCTGCTCAACTGATGATCTTGGGGATGGCCGAGTACTCTCAACAGTATCTGGTTTAGCATCAGAGGGTCTCGAAAGAAGACTGCACCCAATCCTCCTGCCAACCACACGAGGAGAACTGAGGGAGCTATGTGATTTGCTCACCTTTTTCATCTCTTGCTTTATTTTACTGAACTCTTCTTCGAGTTCACCAACTCTAGATCTCATCTTTTCCATATCCACCTTTAAAACGCGATTCTCACGCACCATAGTCACCCACCCATCCCTCTGTATAATCTGGCCAGCCATGTCACCTGGGACAGTCGCAGGACCTGCAGGGCCACTTTGAGTTTCCAAGCCATGAAGACAACCAGCTAGAGCGGTTCTCAAATGCATCTGCTCAAAGAACAGGACTTGAAGAACAACTCTAAGTGGCAACCTCTCATTTTGAGATGCATGGGAACATGCATCAATAGATAGCTTCTGGAAGTCAATGATGCTGCACAGATCTTCCTTCTCTTTATCTGAGAGCCAAGGGTGTGCCTTGAAGTATATATCCAGTGACCTATACAACCCATCATATAAAGTTCTTGAAGATTCTGGGAGGGCCTCCGCAAGAGAGCGTATCATTCCTGGTTTTAAAGTCACATCCGAAGCAACCTCCGCAATATAGCTATCTACCAACTTTGCAACTTTCTGTAAAGGTCTTGATGATGGTGATGTTTCCATGTCAAATGATGACGGAGAAAATGGTGTAGCCCTTGATTCTGATGACATAAAATGATGTATTATTCGTTCAACACAGTCAGTATCATACAATGCATCAGTATCTGAATAAGTAGGAATCAGAAGACCATCTAGGGTTGCCAATTCCAGCTGCATCCCTATTCTTCTCTCCAAAGCGTCCTTGCAGGTTTGACTGACACCCAATATTAATGCAACACGAAGAAGACCAAGTAGAAAACGGCAAAATGATTTTCCCTTCTTGAGGGGAAGAAGTTTTTCAATGCTTTCTAAAACTACCCTTTGATCAAGGGCAATGGGCGTCAAACTAAAACTTGTAACTGTTCTGGGTATACCGTGTTGTCCACCCTGCCATCGTCCTAGGCCAGGCAGGTACTTTCTGGTATAATGCATTATAGCACCTACTAGGTTTTCGGGTCTTATACCCCTTGTTTCCATTGTCTTGATAAGCCTCTCAAACAAACTCACACTAAGGTATGAGATGTCTTCAAACCACCAGTTAGACTCAGAGCTTCGAATTCTCGCTCCAGTGTTAATTCCGTTCCATAGGATGCTTCCACCAGGACTCTGTAAGCTACCATACATCATCATGGGCCATCCAAACAAACTAGGATCTGTACAAACCATCACCGATATAGCATTTACACACTTGTTTACTATGTGAAGCTTTTCTGCCCTTTCAATTACAGTCTCACAACTTTGAAGAGCCAAGATAGAGTCTTTCCAGTTGTGAAGTACATTCTTATGGAAGAAACTCTCTGACTTTGAGAGCAAGTTTCCTTCTCCATACTCATCTGTCATTTCAAGGTAGTCCGCTGCACAGTACACGATTACTACATTTCTTGGAGTCAATTCCACTCGCATACCATAGCAGAATTTAGCTGCAATCAGAAACATGTCAGGGCCACCTGGGAGTTCCTCCAGAACTGCAGTGAAAATGCTCTTGCGTGTGCTTTTGGACTCTTCGTACATATGTGATATCTTCCCACATTTTGATATGAGAGGAAACTGGAGATTATAAATATTATAAGTGACAAGTCCTACTTAAAATTCACAATTAACAACTATGATTTTATTTTCCATTATAAAAACATCCTTAGGGGGAAAGACAACAAGAACAACAACAGACCGCAATATAGAAAAAGCCACACCAACTGCAGAAATAAACCTAACATAACATAAAAGCTAATCACTAATGGTGAAACGAAGCCATCAGCGACATGAATATAATATTAGGGGATAGCGGCAGGGGGGACAACCACTCAACCCCTATTTTTGGACCGGACACATATATTGGAAGCTTAGAGTGCACGGCCAATTTACAAGAGAGAAGCGAAAAGCTTAAGGCTTATGGCTAAATCTAGCATAACTTACCAAACTAGTCAACTACTTATTTCTGATGCTTGAGAACAACCCAAGCCTTTCTATTTTCTATCCATTCTCAATCCCCCCAAATTGCAGAACCACCGCATCAAATGATAGGTGCATACATACCTTGTGAAGATGGAAGCTCACGCCGTCCACGACCACAGTAATATCACTTGGCAATCCCGCTTTGCAAAACCTTACAGAGAGAGAACAAACAAAAAAAAAATAATACATCAATTCCATACTCTCCAGCTTCCTTCATTAGTCAATGAAATAATGAATTTCCATTTGAACAGAATAAGGTTTATTTGGATTGAATTATAGACTTGTATCTGAATTGAACTATAAAATTGAAAGCTGTAATTCAAATGGAATCAAACTCTGCTCCTCTGTCCTTACAGATAAATTCAACAACCAATTAATTAAATTCGAATAAAGTCCTAAAAAAGAAGAATAATGAAGATTAAAGCCTTGAAGAAAACTTAGTAACGGAGTGATTTAATAAACAATTTACAATTTAACAAAAGGGGTTTATTCGTTATTGAATTATAGAATTCTATCTGAATTCAAATAGAATTGAAGGCTGCAATTGAAATATAGTTAGATTCTGGCCTTAAAGAACATTAATTTTGAGAATTGAACCTGGAAGAAAAGGGTCATATTTCTGTCCATGAAAGTGGTGTACAAGGGGAGGGAGGGAGAGAGAGATTACCAGTCATTGCCTTGTCTGCAAAACTCAGAAACCTTCCCAGCTGGAGCCATGGCTGAGGTGGG